TTCTTTATTATCCTTTTAAAATGTCTGAAGGATAATGATAAACCCTCCTTTAATCCTGATGTTGGTAATTTGTCTTGATCACCTTAGCTAGAGGTTAATCCAATTTTATTTGAAAAGACTAGTTTTTTGCTTTTAGTGATTTTCTCTATTTTCTATTTCACTGATTTTTGCTCTTCATAATTTTTTTTCTTCCATTTATACTGGGTTTTTGTTGCTCTTCTTTTTCCAGCTTGTTAAGATGAGAATTTAGATAATTAATTTTAGGTCTTTTTTTATTTTCCAGTGTAAACATTTAAAGTTGTAAATTGGCGTCTAACCACTGCTTACCTGTATCCCACAAAGTTTGACATGCTGTATTTTCATTAACATTCAGCGCAAAATATTTTCTAATTCCCCTTGTGATTTCTTCTTTGATTCATGAATCATTTAGAAGGAGGTTGCTTAATTTCAAGTATTTGAGGATTTCCTAATTATCTTATTCTCAATTGATCGCTAACTTAATTCCTTTTTAAATTTTTTTAATTTACTTTTTTTTAGAGAAAGAGAGAGAGAGAGCAGGAGCAGTGGGGAGAGACAGAGGGAGAGGGAGAGAGAATCTTAAGCAGGCTCCACACTGAGCACAGAGCCCGACATGGAGCTTAATCTCACGAACTTGAGATCATGACCTAAGCCGAGATCAAGAGTCAGACACTTAACTGAGTCACCCAGGCGCCCCTTAATTCCTTTTTTAAAATCAGAGAACATATCCTATATGATTTTAATTTTTAAAAATTTACTGAGACTTGTTTTATGGCCCAGCACTTAATCTATCCTATTGAATATTCCCTGTACACTTGGAAAGAACATGTATTTTGCATTTGTGGGTGTATGTCCTATAAATATCAATTAGATCAGAGTGACTAATGGTTGATCATCTATGTCTTTGCTGATATTTTATGTAGTTGTTCTATCAATTATTTAGAGAGGGTTGTTATAAGTTCCTTCTATGATGATGGAATTGTCTGTTTCTCCCTCTCATCTGTCCATTTTTGTTTCATGTCTATTGCAGCTCTGTTATTAGGTACACAGACATTTAAAATTTTTATACCTTTCTGATAAATTGACCTTTTTTTTTCCTCTTTTTATTTTTATTTGCATTTATTCTGTGCAGAATTTACTCCTGGACCATAAGTTTTTGTTTCTTCAGTTTCTTCTGGGATATCTTTTACTTCTGTGCAACCTCCTCTTCTGGTTTAGGAACAATCTGCTCTTTTTCAGTAAGGATCATCTCAATGTGGCAGGGAGAGCTCATGTGTGGGTTAATCCAACCATGAGCCCTATACGTTCTATGCCGCATCTTGGGGATTTTGTTCACCTGGATGTGCTCAATGACCGGAGAATCAACATCTAAACCCTTAAGTTCAGCATTACTTTCTGCATTTTTAAGCATGTGCAGTAAAAATTCAGCACTCTTCTTGGGCCACCGACCCTGTGCCCAGCCTCACTGTTCGGCCTGGGCACATCTACCAACTCCACCACTGTAGCGACAGAATGGCACACAATGCTTCTGTAAAGTGACGTCTTTCAGATGCTTGGTGGATTTTTGGATATGCATACCCTTGATGGCCTGGGCAGTTTCATGTGCGTTCTTAAAGTGAACACGAAGATTTGAACCTCTTGATTTACATGATTTCGTAGGGTTTTCTGGGTCAAGCGAATAGCGAACCATTTTCAGAGGTCACCTCAGGCCACTTAGGGGAAGAGATAAATTGACCTTTTTAAAAAAATCACTGTACAATGTCAAAATCTCACCAACATAGGTCTTATTTTCCAAACGCTTTTTTAGCTCTCCTTTCTAATTATTTTAAATTCTCCACAATTCCATTTAGGTTTGAACTTCAAAGGCTGTCGACCTCTCCACGCCCTTCCCACTGGTACTGAGATGCTGTCATGTCCTCCCAGCTCCCACATGGAAGATCCTGGAAGGATATAACTTCTTAGTAAAGGAAGAATTGTTTGGTAACCTGTATGTCAATAAAATTTGGGTATTAACCTTTGTCACAGTTGTTGAGTTTTGTGATATTCCAGATGTGCAGAGATTATTTGGGGCAAGTTGGTAATTGTAGAATATGAAGTAGAGGGATCAATGCTGAGCGATTTTTAAATGATCTATTTCAAGAGCAACATCAGATCTCATATCTCTCTTCAGAAGCAAGGCGCTGAGAGTCAGTATGTACTTCAACTAAAACTCAAGTAAATGGCAACTAGAGACCTGCACACAGGTTTTGATGTTTTATCGAAGAATTTTATTTTATTATTTATTTATTTATTTATTTGACAGAGAGACGGCGAGAGAGGGAACACAAGCAGGAGGAGTGGGAGAGGGAGAGGGAGAAGCAGGCTCCTGGCTGAGCAGGGAGCCCAATGCAGGGCTCAATCCCAGGACCCTGGGATCACGACCCAAGCCAAAGGCAGACGCCTAACAACTGAGCCACCCAGGCGCCCCTATCGAAGAATTTTAGAGCATTATCACATTATTGCATTTTAAAGCAAAAAAAAGGCAGAAATAGTTTCATTTCTGAAACTACTACAGAGCACTTAGCAATAGGACATTCACCCCTAGAGCTTTACTACTGGAGCTCTGATTTTCTAAATGTATTCAATACCTACAACTATCTATGTGCTTTGTTCCCCTCACTTATTTGGGAAACCACAAAAAGGAGAGTCACACCCAAAACTTCTTATGCATATCGCTATAATTTAATTTGAATAAATTGTGCACAAGGACAGAAAAATGTGCATAGGGCTTAGATAGCACAGCGATCCCTACCGGTACAACTGCTCTAAACATGTACAATTTTCAAAGGTTGTGTCAGTATATCTAAGAAAGGGGCAAAGACAAATTAAAACGTTGGCACCCAAGTATCTACTGTGATTAACTGCACAAACCCGTGGGGTCGCTTCAGCAGACAGCCACCTACAGAGCAAGCAAACCCAAATATGTGTTGAGTGCCCACCAAGTAACACATGAATCCTCAGAGTTATCAGATTTAATCCTCATAAAGGTACACTTTACTATTGTTGCATTCCTTTTGTGGCCGTGGAACCAGGCTTTGAAAGGCCACATAACTGTAAGTGGTAGCTACAGGCCTCGAATGTAGACCTCCTGACCCAAGATGCGGTATTTATTCTACTTTGCCACAGAAACTTACAGATGAAGAGTTGGCAAACTTTTTCTGCAAAGGACCAGACAGTAAATATTTTAAGCTTTGCAAACCATATGCTCTCTGTTGCAAGGACTCTCAACTCCACTCTTGCAGTGAGAACACAGCCAGAGATAATATGTAAATAAATGAGTTTAGCTGTGTTCCAATAAAACTTTATTTATAAAAACAGGTGGTGGACGGGGTTTGGCCCATGGGTTGTGGTTTGCTAATTAAAACAGACAAAAGGAATTAGGCTCTAAAGGTTCTGCTTTTTTATCCTCTGGAGGCATTTTTCCTTTCTCTTCCACCTACTCTACTGAAGTATATGCGGTAATTATGATTTCACTGTAAGTTCATCTTCCAGTTCCTATCTGCTCCACGGTGCCAACTCTCCTCTTTCACGAGCACAAATTCTAGCTTTGTCGATAAACACTGTCAAGTAGTGATCAACACCTTTTTTAAAAAATGTGAGGACCAACTCAGGAAAAATAAGATTTTTCTCCTCTGAGTAAAAATAGTTTTATTGGATCCCAAAACAGAAAAACAATGTAAAGGTTTTGTGCTTTACTGAATATTTTTGAATGCTAATGAAAAACCAGTCCTGCTTTTTAGTTACAAGATGCTAATACGCGGGCAACAGAGTCGTCTTTTCAATCTTCCACTTCTTAACTGTATATAGTGCTTTAGGATTCAAAACATGTCTTCTAATGCATTACTTCATTTACCTTTGAAGTAGGTATTCTCATGGAGAAACTGGCGCAGAGGTTAGGTGACTCACCCCAATGCCATGCTGGGCACAAAAATCAACTAAACCCCTACTTCCTTGCCTGCCTCCTGTCTCCTCCTGCTCGAAGCCTGGCCTCCACCAAAACCCACACACCTAGATCAGCAGTTCTGAACAGATTCTTCTCCTGGTGGGGGCCCAGGTAGCTTTGTTCCCTTTAGGCCTCTGCTTTGTTGAACTGAAAGCTGCACTTGACATTAGACCAGACGCTTTTCTGGAAAACCAAACAGGGCATGGAGCTCTCTGGTCTCGGGCCACTCAGCACTGCTTTATGGGGTAATTCTCTCCAGAGACTCCTCTACACTATTACAAATAACCATTTTTAAAATTCTTGGACCATTCAGTCAATATCAAGTTAGTTCTTATTATTTCATTATGTGTACTATTTCTTCTGAAAGTTAGTTTTATTTCCCCTCAATAAATATAAATCTCTTACAGTCTCTACTTCCCCTTCCATCCCCTCTGAACTGACATTCTTCACTACGTTCCTTTTATCTGTCAGTGTTCTCTCTGCAGACAGTCAGTCCCCTGCATCTGATGGCCTTTCTCCAACTAATTTTATTTTTTTAAAGGTTTTATTTATTTATTTATTTATTTGAGAGAGAGAGAGAAAGCTCGAGCAGGGGAGGAACAGAGGGAGAGGGACAAGCAGACTCCCCGCTGAGAGCAGAGCCCAATGTGGGGCTCGATCCCATGACCCTGAGATCATGACCTGAGCTGAAACCAAGAGTCTGATGCTTAACTGGACTGAGCCACCCAGGGGCCCTCTTCAATTAATTTCAAAGAGTGTAAATAATATCTAAGGTGGGCTCTTTACTTGAGCCATTGCATTACTTGGTCAAAGTCATTTCCTCCAGATCTGATATTGTTTCAGAACTGTTGCCTGGCCAATCCGCAAAGCTGCCCCAGTGTCTTCATCAAGCACATTCATTAGTTTAGGACATGCCCAGTTGCAGTTAAGGGTTTTTAGATCCAAGGATCAGGGGGAGCAGAGAGCCCACCGCACACAGCCCTGCTGCCAGCCTGCTTACCTCTGCGATCAGGTCATGGAGCTCTCCTTCACTTGGGCAGCACCCTAGCGACCTGATAATTGTCCCGATCTCTCTGCGGGAAAAAATGGTCAATAGTTTCAGAATTTAAACTTTGAAAAGCAAGCGCGGTGTCTCTCTAAAGGACTTCAGGGTGGTTGTAGCCCAGCAAACAAAGTCACTCAGTAAGTACTGCCTTGTGAGGATAGAAGATACTTCCCAGGAAAAGGAAAAGGCAGACAAGCAAACCAAAGGGAGAAAGAAGTGTTTGCATTGATTAGCAAACGCAAGCCCTGCCTGAGCCAAAACCCAGAAAGTTCTAGAAAACGGAAAGGACGGAGGAGTAAGAAAAAGAAATGTCAGCCACTTACTAGCCGAGTTTAAGTTAGTTAACTGCTTTGCACCTCAGTTTCTGCGTCTGTAAAAGGGGGACAGAGGTTTGTGCTGAAGTTCACGTGGCCTCTAGTGCCCGCTCGCTTGAGTTCAGATCCCAGCTCTGCACCGCGCGAGGCGGGGCGGGCTAATCTCCGACTGCATAAGCCTACCTGGTGGGCAAAATATAGCGTCTTCCTTCAAATACTTAGAATGGGGCTGGGAACATCCTCAGAGTAAAATATAAGAACTATCGTAATAAAAGCATAGCTCTTGGCGGAGTAGCCACTCCATAGATATTAGTTACTCTCCTGCCCCCCCATAATAATGTAATTTAATTCAGCAAATAACCTAAGAAAAGTCTGAATTACATTCAGTATTCTCTAGATGCTAAGACAGGATTTGTAATAGATTATTAAGTATTTCCACTTAAAATTATTAAAATTAAAGTTGTAGTATTTGGATGTGTACTTAATTTCACAAATATTCACTTAACTAGAATATTTCATTTCTTTACCATTCTGGATAATATCGGTGGTGTTATATTTACTCACTATTTTACTGAGAAAACATTTTAAATAAGAATGTCTAGGTTCTAGGGCGCCTGGGTGGCTCAGTCGTTAAGCGTCTGCCTTCAGCTCAGGTCATGATCCCAGGGTCCTGGGATCGAGTCCTGCATCGGGCTCCCTGCT